TATTCTTTTTGGGTTTTTTAGTGTTGCTTATGTTTTTCCAATTTCGTCATATATTTTTACAGTATTTAAAAATTTGTACTTTAATTAATAAATTTAGGATATACAATATGTGTTTTTCATCATTTTGGTTACACTCGAACCATTCCGGCAAAAGAAACATTAACTTTTTTTAATATTTTCACGTATATTGCTCAACACTTTCTGATGAGCAAATTGGTCAATATTAACTGAAACTAGATATAAACATATATTTGTAAATTTTTTCATTACTTTAGTGGGAGTTTTCAACCCATTTAATTGATCTAAATTATAGTTTTTATAAAAAATAAGAAATTCATCGTTCTGGGTAATATCTTCAGAACCTTTTAACCTAATTTCACAAAATTGGCATTTAAATTTGTCTAAAACTTTTTTTACCAAGTACCCAGAAAAATAAACGGTAGGACAACTCTCCAAAGAAAATGAATTGTCGGAAAGAGAGGAAACTAATTTAGATTTTAAAGAAGTTTCCACGTTTGTTTCCTCTTCATCATCATAGTTCTCTTTATCTTCTTCCTCTTCTTCTTCTTCTTCTTCTTCCTCTTCTTCTTCTTCTTCTTCTTCCTCTTCTTCTTCCTCTTCTTCTTCCTCTTCTTATTCCTCTTCTTCTTCCTCTTCTTATTCCTCTTCTTCTTCCTCTTCTTCTTCCTCTTCTTCTTCTTCTTCCTCTTCTTCTTCTTCCTCTTCTATATTCATATTTTGCAAAATATCGTTTGACGTAGAACAACTCTCCAAAATATTTTCATCATTGTCTGGTTTTGAACCAGCATTTGCGGAAACTGGGGGCTTGGATTTCTATCGTAACCGCGTTTTTGTCTGTATACCTAAAACTGTTTTTCTAGTGGGTCTTGAATAAGGCGACCAGTAAAAATATACCTGTATCTAGCTTGTTTTACTTCTGTCCAAAATTGCTTAATTGCATTTATTGTTATTAAAAATCCATCAAAACTGTCAGGTCGGGTTAATTTTCCCTTGGAATTTTGTTTGTACAGATTTGATATTAAATCATAACCTGAATTTAGAGCTGTGACAACCTCTTGATTCTTATCACAATATACTCTCTTGTAGAGATTTGATGCTCGGACACGTGTACTATTTAAGGCATCGAAAATATTATTCATAGTCTCTACAAAGAACGCAGTATTTTCGACAGTGCTAGAATTTAACTGCCCTGTTCTCGTAGATGTTTTAATAGCAGCTGCAACGCTGTGACTTAATAATTGTGTGGCTAATTTAACACTCATTTTTTGAAAGACATTTGGGTGTAAGTGTCTTTCTGTAACTTTTAAAAGAGCTTTTCCAGTTTTACTGCGGTTATGAAAATGGCATTTTTAGTGGCAGTTTTTAATTTACCACTTCACCACTTACAACCGGAGTTTAAATGTCGTAAAACACCCTGTATTTTTATCAAATCTTTAGATTTGTGTAGTTGTCTTTGAAATTTGGCATACCTAATTATATGGGAAAAGCTTTTCTTTATTATTTTTAAAACTTATGCCAACCAAATGTTGGCAACTATTAAATTGTAGGTATTTTTTTAAAGATATTATTTGTAAACTTACGAAAATGCACATAGATTAAAGATTACTTTGCAGATTACATTACATACGTATTTTATCAAAAATAAAAGTATACTGGCTACTTACTTTTAACGGCGACTGGTTAGATACCTACTTACAAAAAAAAAAAACGATAGGCAATAAATGTCTAGTGTTTATAATTATTTATAACACAAAAATACAAATGTCTAGTGTTTATAACTATAACACAAAAATGCACAATTTTTAACCAAAAACTATTGTTTGATGCAAAAAACTCATTTATACCACCGTGAGATTGATTTTCAGTCGGCGGGATGTTCGTTTTACAAATACCTACTTTAGGTAGGTAGGAATAGGTATTCATTCATGTTTCTGAAACCATACTTATATTTGAATTAGTAGGTACTGGGTACTGGAGTTATATACATAAAATTTATAATTACTTTAATCATACCTACGTAGGTATATAGAGGATAGGGGTAGATAGGTATCCTACCTATATCCCTCTATCTACTTAAAAATTTAATTAATTTTTTTTTGCATAGATTAAATCTCTTATTTCGAAAAAGTACCTATTCCTACCAAAATTGTAGGTAGGTAGAATGTTATGATAATTAACGCACGAAGTTTAATTTATTAACTCGTAAAACTACCCTGCTCATATTACCTATATAATAAAATATTATATTTATATTAAATTTAGGTAATAATAAATCTAATCTTAATTAGGTACATAGAAATATGTAAGTCCTACATAGAGGTTTTAGGTAATTATTCAACGGCTAATTATAGCAGCTGATAGTAACAATAATAAAAACAACCAGCCAAGCGCCTGATTCAAATTTACCTAATCTAATAACAAAGAGAAAAAGATTTGTTATTTCATGTATTCTCAAAAATAATTGCAGGTAAAATTTCCTTCCCTACATATTTCTTCGCTTCGATGCAATGTTGCCATTTAAATAATTTAAGGTTTGTTTTAATTGATTTTTATTTAAAAAGACAATCTGATTTTTTATTAAACTCTGTAGTCTCGGCTGTAATATAATAATACAATAATCAGTAATTTCGGTAATTAATTTAGATATAAAATTTCTCCGATAATTTTTACTCTGGCAACAATGATTTTCCTAAGTTAATCATTTAGGTGGACTAAAAATGGTAACTCATCCATCCTCTTTTGGAATTTAATTTTAAATGAAATGATACACGGATAGAAAATGGCGTTCATTATATACTCTTGGGAACTCAAAAATAGTCGCCATCTATTTGCTGTCTTCAAAATATTCAAACCTTTCGGTCTATGTCTCTGACCAACTATCTCTACTCTTTAAACAATGCTGATATCATTTTTAAATAATTGAATGTATATTTCTTATAAGGATGTTATAGAAATATATTTAACGATTATTTCTTGATTAGTAACTAAAATAATGTCTTTACATACTTTTTGTATTCATAGGGCTCTAGTTTTGGCTTCACCAGAGGTAAAAATTCACATGGACTCAGAAACTATGGAACCTTTAGATGTAGAAGTAAAAAAACTATTTGAAACTAATTCGATGGTGGAAGAATTTATGTTATTAGCTAATATAAGCGTAGCAGAAAAAATACTGGAAGATTTTCCTGAATGCGCTATGCTTAGAAGGCATCCTACTCCGCCAAGCGCCAATTTTGACCCACTGATTAAAGCTGGTAAACATCTTGTAAGTATTTTTAAACCAATTTTAATATAAATAATGAATTATTGGTTTGTATTTGTAGGGATTTGAAATTAACATCGATTCAGGTAAAAATTTGGCCAAATCTCTAGATGAAGCAGTAAAACCCGAAAATCCCTATTTAAATACTATGTTAAGAATACTCGCGACTCGTTGTATGATGCAGGCCGTTTATTTCGCCAGTGGTACATTACAAAAAGACGAATTCTTCCATTATGGTCTTGCTGTACCTCTTTATACTCATTTTACCTCACCTATCAGGAGATATGCTGACATTATTGTACACAGGTAAGATTCATTTAAAATGCTTCAAAAATTTGCATCTGTCGGTTGCAGTTGTCTAGGAATGTGTGGATTATATACATTTTGTTTCTAGATGTATATAATTTGGAACATATTCTTTCTTCTCAGTGTAGATGAATTAAATTGCGAAGATGATTTGTATCAATAAACTTTATATTTTCCTCTATTGGTTGCAATTGTCTGGGAATATGTGGACTGTATATATTTTGTTTTTAGATGAGGATATCCTTAAAAGTATTCTTTCTTCTCAGTGTAGATTTAATAAATCGAAAAGAGGATTTGCGATTTGCGGTAAAAATTAAAAATCTAATAATTAGGTCCATGAGAAAATTCTTAAACTCTTCATTTTTTTATGTATGTCTAGCGATAACTCTTTACCACCTTGTCCGATTTCTATAATTCTTTCTTTGTTAGTAAGGGTGTACCTTAGGGGTGGTCCCATATAAATTTGGTATAAATCTAATAATTAGGTCCATGAGGAAATCTTAAACTCTTAATTTTTTTATGTATGTTTAGCGATAATTCTTTATCACCTTGTCCAATTTCTATGATTCTTTATTTTTTAATGAGGGGGTACCTAAGGAGTGGTCCCATATAAATTTGATCAAAATCTAATAATTGGGTCCATGAAAAAATCTTCAAACTCGTAATTTTTTTATGTATGTTTAGCAATAATTCTTTACCACCTTGTCCGATTTCTATGATTCCTTTTTTGTTAGTAAGGGGATACCTCAGGGGTGGTCCCATATAAATTTGGTAAAAATCTAATAATTAGGTCCATGAGGAAATTCTTAAACTCTTCATTTTTTTATGTATGTGTAGCGATAATTCTTTACCACCTTGTCCGATTTCTATCATTCTTTTTTTTGTTAGTTAGGGGGTACCTCATGAGTGGTCCCATATAAATATGGTTAAAACCTAATAATTCGGTCCATGAGAAAATCCTTAAACTCTTCATTTTTTATGTATCTTCAGCGACAATTCTTTACCACCTTGTCCGATTTCTAAGATTCTTTTTTAGTTAGTAAGGGGGTACCTTAGGGGTAGTCCCATATAAATTTGGTGAAAATCTAATGATTGGATCCATGAGAAAATCCTTAAACTCTTCATTTTTTATGTATGTTTAGCGATAATTTTTTACTACCTTGTCCAATTTCTATGATTCTTTATTTTTTAATGAGGGGTACCTAAGGAGTGGTCCCATATAAATTTGATCAAAATCTAATAATTGGGTCCATGAAAAAATCTTCAAACTCGTAATTTTTTTATGTATGTTTAGCAATAATTCTTTACCACCTTGTCCGATTTCTATGATTCCTTTTTTGTTAGTAAGGGGATACCTCAGGGGTGATCCCATATAAATTTGGTCAAAATCTAATAATTGGGTCCATGAGGAAATTCTTAAACTCTTCATTTTTTTATGTATGTGTAGCGATAACTCTTTACCACTTTGTCCGATTTCTATGATTCTTTTTTGTTAGTAAGGGGGTACCTCAGGGGTAGCCCTATATAAATTTGGTCAAAATCTAATTATTAGATCAATAAGAAAATCCTCAAATTATTCATTTTTTATGTATATTTAGTGATATTTCTTTACTATCTTGTCTGATTTCTATGCATATAAATTTGATTACGATGTGGTGATGGCATGTGCACGATTTTGAAGTCAGTTTTTTAAAATTACTTTTAATTAGGTTAATTTTCGAGATTTCTTACATTTTCCAAATCGAAAGAATACAGATTTTCTAGGGCCTGTTTTATCAGGGCAGTAAAGTTTTCATTATTAATTGAACTATTATTTGTATGGTTTTTTATTCTTTTGTGTAAATATTGTTTTATTTGTCCAATGTATATAAAATTGACTGCAAAAATTGTAATTCCATTTTCTAATTATTATAATAAATGAACAACAAATTAAAACAAATAAATAAAGATTTGTCAAATGTTTATTTTCATCCAATCAACTAATTGTAAGGTTTTTTTTTTATTTTTAATGTAACGTCACTAAAATTCCTTTGCGATATCGATTTAATTAAAAATCGACCATTAATGATTCAGAAATGTTACGTTTATTCAAAGAAATGCGATTAAAATCAAGTTGTAGTACTGTGATCACTTACACCAAACTATCCTGCTATATCTCCTTTTTTTAATAATCCTTATTAACTCCAGGCAAAAACCTACGTAATATTGTAAGGCAAATTTTAAACTTTCAAAGTTTAAAAATCCTATAAGGTGAGAAAGTTGTTTATTATTTATTCCTCAAATTAATACATTTTAATCTTATATATAATATCTGAATTACCTCAAAAATAAAGTATACATAACGTAAAAAAACATTATATTCATCGGTTCCAATGCCTCGTTCATGACCATTAGTGGCAACTCCATAAATGTATAAAATAAATTCACAAATAATCGCAAAATTTTAACTTCTGTATCTTTCATACCTGGCTGTATAAAAATTCGATAATAAGAATCCTCAATCCAATATTTAATATAAAATCAGACAAAATATTGTTATCACAGCATGCAGCATAGAGAATGCAGAAAAACTCTGGTATTTTTGAAGTAACAAAACTAATTTTATGACATATTTGGGTGTAAAAGTCAGAGTTGGATTTTAAATAATGTCATTGGTGTTAATAGGACCGCATTTTCAAATAAAAAACAAAAAAAATGTAAATAATATCATTGGAAGATTCAAAAAAGGTGTTCTAATTTGTTTCTCACTCAAAAATCGAGAAGTTGAAACCATTTCTATGTAAAAATTAAAAAACCGTGTAAATGTAATTTACAAATGTATAACTTACAGTTCATCAAATTTCTAGAGGTGTTCGACGCCCAGACAGAGAACGCGCTACGTGTGACTAAGATAGCTATTGTACAGTCTGCTAAACAAGTTATTTTAAATAGTTTTTAATATTTTTAGGTAATTAAATTTTAAAAGTGTGGAATAGTTTAGGGATTAAATTGGTCTGATTGGACTTTCTTAGAACGTTTTTAAAAGCAGCTAAAGATAGTATTTAGAATTGAAAATAATTATTATCCCATAAAAGGTGTTTTGGAATTCCTTCAACCTTTTGAAATTGAGTCAGAAAATATAAATTTTATAGGATAGCGGAAAATATCTATAATTTTTTTGTAGGCCTTTGTAAATCGTGGAAATAGTTTATATTTTATTTCTACCTTATTAAGGAAAATGGTACCTATTATTAATAACGGTTGTTTCTGAAACATTACTAAAATTTTCGAAATTTTGTTTTTCTACAAAATAATAAACTATACTATTTAGAAAAAAATTTATTTCTCTTATAATTTTATAAAAAATAACAGGGGAATATTTACATTTCTTGATCTATTAAACAAAACGATAAATTATCTCGACGAATGACACCATGTTCTAGTACGGAAGCTAGCTTTACATTTTTGTTGGTGGTTTCATGGGTTTCATATCAATTTTTTGTAATGGGCCCGTTCACTTTCATTTTTGAATGTGAATTAATTATATATTTATAAAGATATTAAACTCTTTTGTCTGGTGGTACTTTTCCCGTTAAGATATATTAGCTAGAAGTAAGGGAATTCCCATAAAATTCTTTCAGTGACTCATTGCGTCAGAAAACCCCTAATTCCCTTCAGGTCTCGTATCGGTTAATAGTTAAAAGGGCGCGGTTGTCGGATGTATCATTGCACCACCATTCCTCTTCTGCATTTATTAAAGAAATTTACATGATAAAAATATATTATTTTTTTAAAATAATATGTTTATATTTTCAGATAAAGCTGGAAACCTTACCTTTTTTAAATTTTAATAAAAACAATAAATTAGTATTACTCAAGCTGAATATTACCAGATCGAAATTTTATTTGAGAAAATGTATCTGGTAAATGTGACAACGTTGTAAGTACTTCTAAATAGTGTTGTCTACACACACTTCTAGAAATAAATGCAACGTTGCCACGTTTACCAGATAAATATTGCAAATCAAATTTCTACTTTTTGATTATGGTCTGGTTAATTTTCAGCCTGAGTAATAATAATTGTTTTAATTAAAAAGTAAAAAATAAGCTCCCAGCTTTAAATCTGAAAATATAAGTTCATGATTTTTAGAAAGTTAATGGAATTTTACTATTTAAATTACATATATAAATGCAGAAATGCTATATTAGGGATACTTCCGACAACCCCGCCGTCTTTAAGCATAACCGATACGAGACGTAAACGGAATTAGGGATTTTCTGACGCAATGAGTCACTGAAAGAATTTTATGGGAATTCCCTTACTTCTAGCAAAAACATATTAACGGGAAAAGTACCACCAGACAAAAGAGTTTAATATCTTTATAAATATATAATTAATTCACATTCAAAAATGAAAGTGAACGAGCCCATTGTAGTTTACACGTACATATACCTCTTAACACTTGTTTGCTTTATTAAAAAAGTGTGTTGTTGTGATTTACGTCGAAATAAGTCAAAAACAACTTGAAACATCATATAAAATCAAAAAGGAGAAACGGAAAAAAATTGAGCCTGTAAATGAACACAACTCAGAAACAAAAATAGCTATCTAATAATAAAAAAATAAAATTTGATTCTTGTGCAGCTTCATCTATATCATTAACTGTTTTTGGTTTTTTAATGGTTTTTCTTGGTGATGAAAATTCCGATATCTCACGGTTATCGATTCTTTTTTTCTCTCCAGAAATGCGGACGACAGTGTTTTTAGATACTCCTGTGGCTGCAGCAACACGATCATTTACATTTTTAAATGGTATTGAAGGTGAATTAAAATTTCCTTCTCTTCTCATAAACTCTATAACATTGGCTATTATTTCGCGAGATTGACTGTTAATCACGCGGCCTCTTAATTTGCTATTAAACTCCATACTTAGGTTCTATTAAACTGTAATGAGCAAAAAACACAAACGAAACTAAAAGAAATGTTTTAGCGAAATTTACATCTGACATTTACGTCTGAATGAAATAGTGAAATACTTGATGCGCAGAGTGTACTTTCATTGCGTAAATCCGTCGGGATGCCTGTCTAGCCGTCGAAAGCCTCTAGAAATTTGATGAACTGTACCACTACTTCAAGATCCTACAGACAAAAACAAAAAAACACAATACTAAACTGTTACTCGTTACATAAAATAAGGCATTTTCCAACTGGTTTCATAAATAGTTATTGCGTTTTCTGAAAAAAGTTAATTTTGGACATGTTTTTGTAAAAACGTCAAACAAAAAAATTTTTTTAGCAAAAACAAAATTACATAAAATGTTCAAAGTGCCTTCCTTTTATAAAGATTAATTATTTTTTGTTACTTTACAGATTATTGGCAGTCACTTGTGGTTCAGATTGCACATATCCGGATCTATTGGATAAACAAAAAAGCACCGAACTATGCCAAAATTTAAATTACAGGAACAGAATGGCCCAGTACGCTGGAAGAGCATCGGTTGCATTTAATACACATGTAAGCATCTAAAACTAAAATCTAAAACATGTTAAAAATGTTTAAATTCAAAATCCTTACTAAAATATTTGTTTTTCAGTTGTTCTTCAAAGGCAAATTGCAAGTTGAAGAGGGATACATTCTTTATGTTAGAAAAAATGCTCTGCAAATTCTTATTCCAAAATATGGTTTGGAATGTACTTTATTTTTGGCCAAAAAGGGAGAAAGTTCAAATATTTTTGAATACAATGAAGAGGTATGTAATTAACTACACTCTTTGAGAATAAAATATTGTTTCGAAACTATAGTACAAGTGATTCAAACAATCTAATATACCTGGTGGCCAATTTAAGTCCACATCAAATTTGACTCTCCAAATAGTTTGACAAACTTGTTACTAATAATTTAAAATAAAAAGAATAGCAGGCTACTAAATATGAACTGATTGGTGGATTTCATATGCATTCTAGAATGCATATGAAATTATATTCGTTTGGTAGACTGCTTTGACATATATTCAATACAGGTATCTGCTTCTCAAGCAAGGATTGTTCAAGTCTCAGTACAATTTGTTTTTATTTATACTTTCCTATGTTTAATGCTATTATAATATTAATATTTACGTTCGTCAATTTTTAATGAAAGAAAAATTACCACTTTATCCAAAATTTTATTTTTTTCTTGTAAAAAATTAATAATTATTCGAAATTTTGCAAATTTGCGAAAAGTGACTTCAAAGGAATACAGATTACAACTTTTCATACACGTATAAATATTTTTTTTTACTAAAAATAGACATATAAGTGAGGTATCTACAGAAGAGACAAAAATTTTGCTTGGCTTTAGGTATTTTATATAAGTTAGTTCCATAGATATTAGATTGTATTAGCTAATTAATAATCTTATTTTTTATTTTAGGCACAAAATCAGAAAGCTGGAGATATCATCTTACATGCATTTGATCCAGTCAAAGTACGATTAAGTCTGGACTCAAACAATATTCAGCATGAAAAGTTTGTATTGCAATTGGTTTCACCCTATATTGAAGGATTTAGTGTTCCCCTTCTTGAGGAATCAGACACAGAAAATAATACAAGCAAAGTTAAAAAAAGAAAGTCTGGAGATGATTTGAACAAAAAACGTAAAAAAAAATAAATGTAATATAGTTATAAGATAAATTTTCTACTATTTGAAGAAGTTTAATAAAAAATCAAACTAGACAGTTGTTTTTCAATAAATCTCAAATTTTCAACAGCAGTTTATTACAAAAATGTTTTTATTAATAAAAAAAATAATACATAAATGTTTATTAAAACACATGGTTAATTACAGATTTTCCAAAGCCACAAGAATACAATGTATCTTCATACCAAGCCAATCCTTTCACATGTCCTTTGTGTTTTTCATTCTTATACACAACATCAAGATTATCTCCCTCAGAATTAATAACTAAAACCTCTTTAGAATCTCCACAAACAGCAAAATCTTTTGAATTCTTGAAAGATATTCTATTTACTGGGGCAGAAAAGCAGTAGAGCACTGAAATGAAATCTTTTGGTTCACGTTTGTCTAATAAATAGATGTCTCCAGCTTGAGTACCAGCTACTAAATAATTATCATCGTATTGATTCCATGCCACACTTGTTATTGTAGAAAATTCGTTATTGTAGAGTACTAAAAAAAATATAACAATCATAATCATAGAAAATACTATAAAGCATATTTTGCAAAATATTTCCAAACTAGTATAACAATTTATTGATGCCTCCTCTGCAATCCACATAGTTTTCAATATATTTTATTTTTTATAGCTCTTTGGATAAAAAATTAAATAATCTACATTTTAAGATTCAATATATAAAAAATGTTGAACAACACTTATCTAATTAAAAGGCAATAACTGCAAAATTTTACAATTCATTATCTTCCATTTATAAAAATTACACCTTGTTTAAATATAGTGGTAAAACAAATTAGATTTATGTAGAATAAAATAAGAACATTTTAAGTTTTTTTATTTACCTGAGGCAGGTACAGGATTTCTAACATCCCATATACATGCTAATCTATCCCTGGCACCAGATACAAATAAGTTTGTGTTATTTCTTAATGTATCCAAACATGTAACTGTATCCCAATGATAATTACTGAAAATTAAACATATTAATGATTTGCTACTTTTTTTCTTATGGCTGAATTTGTTGTTACAAGTCTTAGGTCTAAGATTACAAAATATTACTTACTCAAATGATTTTAGAGGTTTTCCATCTACAGAGTTACATTCCCATATGGATATTGACCTATCAGAAGCTCCCAAGATCCTATTTGAATTATCCCAAACACCTATTTGGGGTACTCTGTTTGATAAGCGAAAGTAATTAATGGTACGAATTGAAGAATCTACTTCTATAGAAAGTACATTTATATGTCCTGTATCATCTGCAAGAACTACCTAAAAGTAAGAACACCGATACGTCGTAACCATTATTTAAAATATATATTATCAATAGATAAAAGAATCACCTGCATTTTAGCAAGAGAAAAAACTGAATGAAAAATAAAATGTCTACAAGTAAATTGTACTATTATTACCGTTTTATCATTAATAAACTTTCCATCAGAATTTGAAGAATAAATATAATATGTTTGATAATCAAAATTATCTAACTGCTTGATGTTATCAAAATAAAGAAGAGTTCCTTCCCAAAATGTTTCTGCAACTCCTGATGTACCAAGTATGCAATTTCCTAAAAAAAAATAAGAATAATAATTTAAAATACTCCACCATAAACCTAAAAAACTTACCTAGTTTGTTAAAGTCTACAAAAAACAGTGTATCATAAATTACTGGTGTTGTCGAAAAATGATTTCGAGGTTCCATGGGGGCATTTGGAGGAAAAACTGCCCTTATTTTTTTACAATTATCTTCAATTTCTCCCATTTTGTAAGATGTACTGAAGATAATTTCCACTAGCAAATAGAATTAAATTTTTGTATAAAAAATTGACTAACTTAAAATTAGAGGTTATGATAATTTTTTGACATCAAGATCAAGATCTTTTATGAAATATGTATTTGGTTAGGAATTATAAATCAGTATTATTGTTATATAAGGACTTTTGGTTTTATTGTTATAAACTAAAAAAACCTTAGTACAACACACAAATAACACAAATTTGCAAGTAGTTATTAAAATTTAAAATATTAAATTAACACGTATATATAATAAATAAAAGGCCACCAGAGTGGTGTAAGTGCATGTCATAAAATGTTATCAACTAAAAAGAGATAGCTAGTTTAATTGATAGACCTTAGTAATGAGCAACGAGGATAGAATGATTCAACCAGCATAGGGATTCTCATCTTTCAATTAAGACGACTGTCTTCGTTCCACAGTATATGAATCGTATGTAATGTATTTCTCTATTCAATTCGTTACGCACATAAGAATCCCTGTCCTGGCTTCGTTCAAGCGAACATAGCAGCGATTTGACAGGAGACAGTTCTAACGTAAATGTCTATTTTGGCCCTGTTTAGTTGACTAGCTCGGAGTAAAACTATAAAGGGAAGTCTCTTTTCCTCTTGTAGGTTATACTATCGTTGTCTTTTTCTGTGTTTACTGTAGGAACAAATCTGTTTTAGTAATCTCTTCGATATCAAGAAGAAAGGAAATAAAAATTTCTACCAAACGAAGTCCCCAAAATCTTATAGTGGAGAGCTGTCAAATTAGAGTAAGTTATTTACAAAAATTTGCATTAGAAGTGAATTAAGAGTATATATTTAGGTGTAAATCTTTGGCAATCAAAGAAATCAATTATTTTTATATATTATTTATTTTAAAAAGTGTATGTAAGTTCTAATTATTAGAAGACGTGACAACCAACCCCACTTCAGGTATAATTTACCTCATTTTTCTCACATCCACACTGATTAATTAATTTTTAATTTCGAGTAGGCAATTGGATATTTGAAGATTTATTAATAAAATGTTTTTACTTGTGCGTAATTTCTGTTAAAATGTATATAAGTCGCATGGTGATTCTCGTATTTTGGATTTTAATATTTAGTTTTAAAGAAAGTAAACTGATGAACACAGTTGGATCAAATTTTTGGTAATCAATCAATTATAGTTAATTGAAAAATTCGATAGTTTTTATCATGTTTGCCACATTGCTTTGGCTGGTGAAAAAACTTTTTTTTACAACCTTATTTACATCTTAAACTATTATTGTTTAAAAACAAAATTAGCATGTTTTAGCTAGGATGACATAAAAAACAACAAATATTGTGTCCTTGCCTAGTGTATGTTTTGCAATAACTATGTTTTTTTGAATGTTATCACTATAAACAATTTTTTGTTTATTAATAGGTAGGTACTCTTGTTTTTATTGTAGCCACTGCATGTTTTGTTTTTCATTCTTTTTAAAAAGTAAGTTTCGAAAAAATCTAGGTTGAAATCATTTTTTGATAGCAGATTTTATGTAGGTATTATATTTACATTACAATTTTTTTATAGTATTAAATATACATTTCTACCAATCATACATTAGAATAAAAGCCAATGTTTGATCCAAAATTTTAATTTATTTCATATTTGATGTGTTTATTGATGCCCCTTATGTTTGATGTTGGCATCACCCATCCTTATCACTTCTTATTTTGACTATTTACATTTTTTTTGTACATACCAAATATAATTAACTTTTTTGTTGTGTTATCAGCATCAACTGCTTTGGTTATTAGCCTCTTGTTACTGTACTAAAGTCATAAAAGAAACACATTTTTATTAAATACAAATAAATAACCTTCTTTAAGTATCTATACAAAAGGCTTTTTAAACTGAGCCATAGTTTTGCCAGGTTTTTCTGGTGCCACCATTCATTGTAATTAAGATTTACTGCAAGTAGTAATTTCTTCTTCCCTTCGCAGTATTTTTATGCTAGTAATGCTTGTCTCAGATTTGATGCTTCTCAAACATTCTTATTTGTAATGCAACAACTTCATACACTGCTATTGGACATTCAGTAACTGGAGACATCGTGCTTAAGGTTCCATCAATTTATTAATAAAGAAATACAAAGCAGCATATCTAGACCCAGGGTTCAAGAATATGGGTCTTAAAAATAACTAATTTAATATTTAATATCACACTATTATTTAAACCTGAAAATGTCAACTAAGAACAGTCAGTTAAGAATGTTTTTATTTTTTTTTAAGAGGTCAGTAGTCTTTAAGTTGCTTGGAAGATCTTTGTACTGTATTAGAACATTCAATAGTATGCTTCAGTCACCTAAGCATATTCATAGATAGGTTATGAATAAAGATGGATGTCTGATATTTAGAAAGGGACTTAATGTCTAGAATATTATTTGGACGATACAAAAAGATCAGTAAGATGACAAAATGGAAGTTGAACATTTTTTCTGATAGCCCTATTCTGTTGAATTTGCAAAGGTAGTCTATTTTGGGAAGTTTTGCTCCAAATGAGAGTTAAATATGATAGATGTGAATGGATTAGTGAATGATATAGAACCTTACTTAAGTCAGCTGAAAGAGAGGCAACTCATCCTAAAACTTCAATGACAGGACTAATTTTTTTTACACAATTGATCCCAGTTGAGCTTGGAATCTATATACAATATATATTTAATGCATTCTATCCTAGTTAATTGTTTATTGTCTATATTTGAAATTGGTCCCATTCAGTCTTTTTTGATATCATTAAAAAAAATTCCAGTATTCAATATTAATTTATGAAACTTTAACCATTACTAAATTTGATTTAGATTCTATAATATTATTTATTTCCTCTGGGTCTTTTCCAAACTAGATGAGGCATGCATCATAGGCATATAGTTGTAGATAATCAATTAATAGTAACTGAGTTATGGAATTTATATAAATCAGGAATAATGTTAATCCAAGAATTGACACCGTATTGGAGATCAGCTATTTTACTTAAGATATGTCCTTTACTTACAAAGTGTGCTACCATTAAAATAATCTCTGAAAAGAGACAATGCATTTCTTATAATTCCATGATCTTCCAAAATAGATAACAGTAGTGAGTGGGTAGCATCAATATAAAGGGAAATTCTATTATAGATAGAATTTTGGACATCACAGTCAGAATACTAATAGGCCTTAAATCAGAAAAATGTTGATGTGCAACTTTACAAAGTGGTCTAATTGTTACAATTTTCCAAGATGTTGGAAAGTAGTTTCTTTGAATACAACAGTTTAGAAAGTGTGTAATGTAATTATCAATATGCAGACTACAGTACTTTAGCATGGAGATTGACATCCATGGCATTAGATTTGATATTATAGATTAGTTTATTAAATTCTCTGACGGTTATAAAATCAAATGCTAGTTTGTTTCCATGCAAATTAGGTAGTGTTGAATTATCATAATCTAATAGGTCATCATCTACTTCATTATCAACAGAAACAGAACAAAAGTACTTATTTATTTCTTCAGGTTTCTGAAGTGAAATAGGTAGGGTTATTTCTTGCTTTCTAGACTGAAGTTTATTTAGATCCTTCCATAATTCCTTGGATTTATGGGAATTGAATAGGTTGTCAAAATAGGCTCTTTTTCATGACTTATAGAGGAGAAAGTTAAATTTCTTCATTCCTTATACCTATTATTATAGCCTATTTTGCTCTTTAAAATGTCTACATGAAATTTAAAAGTTGGGCACTCACGGTCACTATTTTGGTGTCCAGTGGCGTGGTTTGTATTGTAATTACAGTTAGATAAATGAGAATTAATGCAGAATTTTCCCTGTTTGGGACATTCTTCTTCTTTGTGTTCTTCAGATCAACTGCATTCACTCTTTTTGTGATAAAATTGTTGACAATTAAAACATCTTGGTATTTCTAAATCTTCATATACTGCCTAGACAGATCTTCTTCAAGGGGGTAGTTAACTTCCATTTAAGTCAAGAGAAACAATGATACATGCATTGCCTTTATCAACATGATGTCTCATGTTGGTAATCATATCTATAACTGCTGATGTTGTGTTACTTTTGCTACGAAATCGATACTGGCCATCATACCAAAAATTCTTATGTTATTAGTACATGTTTTCATGATTTTGGAGATAGAGCGTAACAGCGATATCATTAGGTAATTATTAGTGGAATTTCTTGACCCTCATTTAAATAATGGTAAAGCTTTAGCTACTTTTAGTCCATTGGGAATTGAACCATGAGAGGAAGATATATTTATTAGTTTACTTAAGATAAGTGACATCTAGTTTTTAAAATATTTGATCATGTCCCTGAAAATATGATCAGCACTGCAAGATTTTCTTGGTTTTAGCTCTGAAATTATTTTTTTCATTTTTTCATTGAAGGTTTGTTACTGTAAGTAGACTCTGTCATATTTTATGCTAAGGATTTACCTATTTCTGTAAAATGGGTGTTAAGGATATCTGCATTTTTCCAAGGATCTTCTATCAAATCATCTTTCATTTGCTGTTAATTCTTTGATATTTTATTATGAATTAATAAGTTTAATACTGATCATATTCTTCTTGGGTTATCAAGGGCACTTGTTAGCTGATTTTGATGATATTGCTTCTTTGCTTTCAAGATAGTTTGACTGTTCTTGTATTTACTGTGAAGCAGAACACTTGGGGAAAAGCTTTTGTCATTTATAACATTTATCTGTGCTTAATTAGGTTCCATGGACAATTTTTAGATCTAAAACGGTTTTTATATGACCTAATTAATAAAAAATTAAATCTTAAGCACCCTGTATATGTATGGCCTTACAAACTTTTTAGTGAAAAAAAAATATGTAAGTGTAGATACATGGGCGTACGGAGGGGGGGGCGTTTGTTCCCCTGGTTTTTTATTTTGTTAATTCACCATTATTATTTTTGTAAACATATACAATTTAGTTGTTGACAAACTGAAACTTTTTAATTGTTTCCCTCCCTGAATTTTCCCTGTGCACGCCCATTTGTTGGTAAACCTATGAAGACTAGAAAGAAGGAGGCGAATCGGCAATGGTCAAATTTCAAATTGACTAGTTGGCATGGGTGACAGAAAACAGCAAAGCAAAATTTACGTCGTTCCAGATTGTAAAACAGGATACAAATCAAATGTGAAACTAAAGAAAACCAGGATAATTCAATTCAATGTCTTTTTAAAGCTTTTAATGTAAGCAAAAATAATGTATTTGTGTCTAAATATAATATTTATTGTAAACTAGTCACAATATGTATCTTATGGAGTGTAGTTTATTTTATTACTAGTTTCTATAATATAAAATTGTACAGTCATAGATCCTGACTTACAAACAACAACAATTATGCATTAAATTTAACTTACTAGAAAAGAAAATTTATTTTTTATAGAGTTTTAATGTTAAATAAAGAGTTGGTACTGTTATTTTTTTGTTGAACCCCAATTGTGTATTTGTAAATGTTTTTTGTAGGATACTAAACACTTAGAACAGTGGCAACATATATATCATTCCTAGTTCCAATAAAGCACTTTCTAGAGATGATGCTGTTCTATACTTTTTAGAAGATATCAAATATGAGACTATTTTTACTGATGGTACTGTTAGCAAAATAAAAAGGGGAAAGCTGAAATTAAAGGATGAATACCATGTACATTCCCAAATCTCCCTTTATACTTGTATTACAACAATAAAAAATTTGTTAACTGTGTTTTATTTTGCTTTTAAAATTATATATAGGTTCCATTCAAAAAAAAAATTGCCACAAAATTGTACTTATCAAATTTCAGCATTTAACAAATCTTTGCGAATTTGGTCATACCTTCCCAATTTGTATTTTGTATAGATGAAATTAAATAATTTATCAATTAAAATATGCAAAACTTATTTAGAAATGAATACAACAGTATGTTCTGTGCTTTTTTTCTGTAAGATTCAAAGCTCCAGTGTTTTTCTACCACAAAACTGGCTTGCAAATGATGTAGACACTTATTTTGTAAATTTATGTTGAATTTTAACTTGTCACCATTAACATATTACTTGCAGTAATATATAATAAATGTCATTTGTTGGAAGTGGTTGAGCACCAACTGAAAACATTTAAATTTCAATTACTAATATGATTTTTCCTGATGGCTCATTATAATAAACTATCACACATCTTTAACTTTATAGTTATGGATGTAATTTTTGATTTCAACATTAATTATTAATTTTTAGGAAATATGGTTCAATCATTACACTTCACAGCCTGATGTAGTTAGATAGAATGGCAGAATGTATTAGTAGATCATCAGAACTTCCTAAACAAGACTGTACAAGCCCCAGCCCAACAGAGACTGTTTGTTTAGAATCTTTATGTGCTGAAAATATTCCTGGTAAGATTACTGGTGGCCAGCCAATATCGGAATTATTTAACAATGCATATAAAATTTAAAAAAATCTTATTTTACTTAGAGGATTGATTCTCAAATTAAATTATGACCTGTAAACATCAAATTACCTTCTTTTTTTTTTTTTCAGGTACATCACAACGCAATATTGAAGCTCCACTTATTCTTCAGAACGACGATTACAATATTGAAGAGGTTGAAAAATTAGAAAAAAGTAATTTTTTAAATGAGCTAGGATTAATTCAAGAATGTGATGATGATGATATTGATGAAGGTGAAGATGATCAGGGCAATGAAGATGATGAGAATAGAGACGAAAATTGGGAGGATTGTTTAGACCAAGAATTTATTGATGATCTTACGGATAATGTAAATAAAAAGCTCAAATATTATAAATTTAAAAACATAAAAATATTTATATATCTATTTTTTAGCCGGATGAAACTAGTAGCTGTGAAGAGGCAACTAATTTTAGTCCCAATCAATCAAGTACTCCAAAAAGTTCACAATTGAAAAGAAGTTATTCTGGTTCAAGTGAACGAACTTTGGTAAGTGACAAAAAATACAAATATAATACAAAAGTAATGATTCTAGGTCAAATAATAATAATAATAATATTTCTTTGAATTAAAAATGGTAATATTTATTTTAATGAAAAAAATCATTTTATATCATAAAATATAATAACAGTAAACATTTTTCAATAAAAATACGTTCAAAATTTAGACAAAAAAGAAACAAACATGAAAATTATATGTCTACTTAATAAATGTACAGTTTGCGCAACCCAAATCTGAACTCTTTTTGGTTGTCATGGGATTTTTTGCATTCTCTAAACCAAGTGTACGGTGATTCCATACTGTAATTACAGTGATATTGGGGCAAAAACTTTCCTAGTAACTCAGAAATCAAGAGCTTTGAGGCTCCATATAAAACGTGAAGGTAAGGAAAATAAAAGGCAAAAAGGTCCTACAAAATTAAAATAATATAAGCAATAGGTCATGAAAAACTATCCCTAGAATTAATTCAATGTAAGTGTCACGTTTCAATACTATAAAATATCGAAACTTACTCTCAAATATTCATTAGTTTGTTGTAATAAACGTTAGTAGTAAAAAAAAAACATCTTTTGGAAATTAAAAACATGTATATACCCACTAATTCCTATTAAGAACCACTCGAATACTACTGGGGCCTTCCTTATATCAAATACGAACAGGTGTAGCGAAAATAAATCCATTTACAGGCTCAAATTTTGAGAAATTTACCAAAATACGCGGTTCAACTGCTTAATCGCAGTCTCAAAGTTAATTCTATTTATTTACTGTACAATCCTGTTTGGCTGGTAATGATTACCATTTTCACAGTAAATTAATTAATTCACAATCCAAATGGGCCTACATTACCTCTGTCGTTTTTTATCTACCAGTTTTAACCAGTGGCGGCTCGTGAGCAAAAAAATTGGGGGTTCACAATGACAGTGTAGATTTTAGATTTATATAAAAAAAACCTTAGTTTTTATAATACACCTTTCCAAAACACTGAAAGCTTTTTACCTAAATCTGTACTGAGACCTATATTTTTTGGAATGGTATTGGTCTCTATAATAATAATAATAATAATAATAAATTGCTTTTATTTGCTTGTAATATACAATGCACATAAACATCATGAGGCGAAGTCTAGCTTGCGCTACTCAACTTAACCTCAACATAAATATAAATTTAAAATAATCAAAAGGTATCCATCATTTACAATATAAAAAAAAAAATAAGAAATTTAATATACAATTAATTTATGATTAAAAATGTTAACCCTGTATTTAATCTAAACTGAAATCAATGGAACTTAAAATACAATTAAATAAGGAAAAATGTCAAAGAACATGTCCTAATTTCCCTAGGTAGACTGTTATATATTGAAATGGCGTTATATGTGAAAGATCTTTTGAAAAATGATAATCGGTAATTCGGAATCGTTAAGTTGTGTGGATATCTTAAATGTAAACTGTGCAGATCTTTCCGATATATCAATTTATTTTTTAAGTATATGGGAGTTGAGGTTAAAAGAATTTGAAATACCGTGGCCGCCATCTGATATTTAAATAAATTTCCTATATTGAGCCAGCTAAGTTCTTTAATTTTATTTGATATTCTATCATACTTTCTGATACCAAATACAAAACGACAACAACAATTTTGAATCTTTTGAAGTCTGTATTTGGTTATTTGATCCAAACAAGGATAGTAAATTAAAAGTCCATAATTTAGGATGGACAATACAAGACTTTCACAAAGCAACTTACGTAATTTGAAACTCAAAATACCTCGATTCCTGTATAATTGACGAATAACCAGATACGATTTTTTGACTAGGAGCGAAACCTTAATTTGCAGTCATAAATAATGCCTAAGTTTTTGGCACTCCTACAAGATTTTAGAGGTTCATTTTGAATGAATAGCTTAAGGTTCTGTTGTACATTATGTTCTATATTTTTAGGACAAAATAATATTGTATGACATTTACTGGCATTTAGTTTAAGGTTATGATTCATAGAAAATGTATATACTGCATTTAAATCTGAATTCATGTTTTGCGAGGCTATATCTACTTCACATGGGTCAAAGGAATAATATAGTTGCGTGTCGTCAGCAAAAGAGTGTATATTTACATACTCCAATAATTTATAAAGGTCTGAAATATATATGGAAAACAAAAGGGGACCAAGAACCGAGCCTTGGGGTACTATAGGGGTACTATAGAAGTATTTATGATGTTAATTAAGGGCAGTGCAACACTATCAAAACAATTTTTCAAAAATTCTACATTTATGTCATCAGGACTTCCTTTATTTGCCATTTCAAAAATAATTTCTTTTAAAGTGTTTAAAGTAGACATTGTTAGTTCTATTTACAATAGGAAAATCTGGAACATTATATTCTATATTATTGACTATTTCTTTTAGTCCAGGATCCCTATGTAAGGTCGACCTTCACCTATCTGTTTACCGGAAGAAAGTTTTTTTTTTATTAAATAAAATATGTTTTTAAATATACCGCAAATGGGTTGCCTAAGAAAATACGGTCACGGCCATTTTTTACTTCCCTCTCTGTGTACAGATAAGGAAAGTATAGGAATCATGATAAAAGTTGTTTATGATGTCATTCTCTATTATTTTGTTTCTATACATGATTTTTCTAAAATGGACCTAATTTGAGATATTTGATGAAAAGTGCAAATTTCGAATTTTGAAAATAACTCAAAAACGGATGAAGAGAAAAACACCAAATTTTGAACTTAAGCTTTAATCTATCCTGCGATGAGCTGATTAAAGTTTGGGCACAGTCAAAGCATTTTGGGAATACTTTACAGGGTGTCGTTTTTTTTACTTTAAGAAAATAAATAGTGTGGACCGAATTTTGTTAGGCAACCCATTTGCGGTATATTTAAAAACATATTTTATTTAATATAAAAACTTTCATCCGGTAAACAGATGGGTGAAGGTCGACCTTATTTCGGATCTTAGACTATTTGATACTATTAAGGTAATATTTGTTTAAAACCTCAGGCATTTCACTTATATCTTTTACTAATTGACTTTCACTCACCTCAATCTCCGTGAATCGAAGTTCTTTATTGTTTTTAGGTATCATTTCCTTCAATATCTTCCACAATTTAACAGAGTTATATTCGTTGTTCATAGTATTTAGTTTTTTCTTGTCGAATTACCTTAACTGCTAAATTTCTTGTCTGTTTGTATATCTCTAGATTTTTAGGACATTTGTCACGCCTAGCTTTTTTAATAGTTTCATTCCACCATTTTTTATACTTGGGAAAGATTTTAATATCTTTTACTGGTGCTATTTCATCTAATACCTTTATGAGCTATATACCGTGTTGTCTAACGGCAATATGAACCGTTACATTGTGTTCTTTTTGCCACCATTTCTTGACATATAATATGCATTTTCTCTAAAAAAAATACCTTTAGAGGTATAGAGCATGTCATAATACATATTTATATATAAATACACATTAAACACATTTTTTTTATATTATTTTTATTATTAGTAATCAATATTTTATATAGTTATTTTTGCCAAATTCGAGACTCAAATAGGGATTCTCAGAATTGCAGATACTGTGTTTTATCACTGGGCTACTTCTAGCCTATAAATATTATAGTAGATATGGTTAATACAGCCTCTAATCGATATGATGAATAATTTCTCTTGAGTTAGTACTGCTAAAAGCGGTGACTAACACATGATCTGTGACTAATCTTCTCTCTGACTTTTTAATAATACATACAAATCACAAATTGCTTCGTATTCGTTTTACAACTCTTAAAATTATTACAGCGTAAACGCAAGTTGGACATTAATAATGGGTTGTCAATGTTGCCATGTAAAAAGATACAACCAGATTCGCCAACGATGTTCAATAACAACCCTCCTTTTCTCCCGGCAACTGGTTCCACTGCTTCTCAAACACTGTCGGGCGGGACGACGCACTCCAGCGGTCGATCGCGGCCTATCATACCGACCAAGGACAATCCGCCACCGGATTTGTCCAATTGGTTGGTACAGTTTTCGGCTTGGTCGAATGCGGAACGAATCATGGCCATAAACGAGTTGATTGCTAGGTGCGAACCGACACAAGTTAGGCATATGATGCAGGTAAAGGATTTTTCTATTATTAATATATACGAAAAAATGTGACTCAAAATTAATATCCAGTATTACTATTTTCCTATGGAACTGTTCGACGAACTCAAAGCCAAAAGAATGAAACAAAAGTTAACTTAAAAAAAAGTAAATCTTATTAAATTTGCACTTAAAATAAAAGAACTCTGACTATTTTTATAAATAAAATATTCCCATATTCAGCTAATACCACTTCCAGAAAGACCGCCACAATATTACTATTTTCCTATAGAATTTATGTGATATTGTCTTGTTTTTTTACTTTTTTCGGTAGTAATAACAATAATCTTTGAGTTTTACCAAAAAAAAATCCTTTCTAATATATATCAACACGTACACAATTTGATTTTATTACTCTTGAACAAGTAAAAATTAATTTGGTTTCTAGGAGTTATTGTAGATAAATACAAATTAATCAAACTTTGTAGGTTTAATTTTTCAGATCAACACACTGAAGTACTTCAGACCATTTTCTAATTTCCTATTATATGTCTAATAATTTGTTTTTTGTAGATAATTGAACCGCAATTCCAAAGGGATTTTATATCATTGTTACCAAAAGAACTAGCTTTAAATGTTTTATCATTTCTCGAACCAAAAGACCTTTTGCGAGCAGCGCAGACTTGTCGCAGCTGGCGTGTATTAGCCGAGGATAACCTTTTGTGGAAAGAAAAGTGTAAACACGCTGGTATCGAGGAAATTCCAAGAAAAAGAATGTCTGCTAGGATACTCTCTACTCACATGTCGCCTTGGAAAGTAAGCGTTTCGAAATATTTTTATTTTAATTTGATTTAATTAATTTTTGTTTGTTTTAGGCAGCTTTTATGCGTCAACATGCCATAGAAATGAATTGGAGGTCGAAGCCTATTAGACCTCCGAAAATTTTAAAAGGTCACGATGACCATGTGATAACTTGTCTTCAATTCTGTGGCAATAGAATCGTCAGTGGATCAGATGATAATACTCTAAAAGTATGGTCAGCAACTACTGGAAAGGTAAGATTTTCTTAAGAATAATTTTGTAATAACATAACAAAACTTTTTTGAACCTATTTTACACTTTACAAGTTTTAATAATTGTAATATTAACAGGATGTAGCAGTGCAACCTTTTTATTAGGAAAATAAATAAAACAAAAAATTTTTTAATTCTTCTTTTTAAAAATAATGTCAGTCAATTGAGGTACTCGATTTCTGAATTTCCAGTCGACTCTCTCGAACATTGCAATGGGTATGTGAGCTATTGCTTTTCGAATATTTTCTTTCAAATGGGATAGGATCCTTGAACGATCAGTGTAAAAAAGAAGAAACGTTCAATGACTACTGACTTGAAATATTTATTTATTAGCCATTTAGTTTACAGTAATTTAAATCAAACATTATTACATAAAAAAATATACACAATAACTTAAATATAAACAGAGTGTCAAAGGCTTTAGCCAAGTCTAGAAATATACCAATCACCTTATTCCCATGATCCAATCTTTGAAAAATGTCACTAGATACTTTGCGCAATGCATCTTCAGTACAGGAACCATCCCTAAAGCCATATTGATTTTCATTGATTAAATTATACTTGTTTATGAATGCCAACAACTTAAGCCTAATACATTTTTCTATAATTTTACTAATGGTGCTTGTTAAGGCTGGGAAATGGACTAAAAATGGCGGCCGTTTTTGTCATTTTACAACGTGTTACTAAATCATGCTTTTTAGATTAATAAAGAAAAATTACAAGGAAATTGAGTTATAATTATAAACAGAAATGTTGTAAGAATGAATTGAATATACACATATTCGATAATAACTAATAATAATTTCAAATTATCATTAAAAACTTGAAAAATTTTATTGCAAGGATGATTAAGCAAATTGTTTTCAATGAATTCTCTATGATTTTTTATTAACTATCCTACAATATGACGGCTGTCGGTCTAATAATTATCACAAAAAGCATGATTTCAATTTGCAAATTTTGACACAATTTTTAAAATTGACGCGTTAATTATCATGTCATTTTAGTACATCGTGTTCACCACCAATGCGACATGCAAGGCGATTACTAATGGTTGCCAATCAGAAAAGTAAACGTCTTATGTCAAATTATTGGTTGACCAATTAGAAATGCAAACGGCATGTCAAATTATTTCAAAGTACAATACGAACCGTTGCTCAAATATACTTGTATATGATAATAAATGATAATACGACGTTGCCGTTCTATGTATGTTTACAATGGTTTTAAAGATATTTATTGAGTGACAAAATCTTTCTCCATGGACAAAATCGGGAAGATTTTAAGGCACAAGCACTTTTGTTAGTTGACAAGAATTAAAAAAAATATAGTTTTGTACGTTCTCAAACCTGCTTTATACAGTGTGTGTCAATAAGTTGGATCCATATGTGATTTTTTTTTGGTATTACGATTGGAAAAAACATCGTAAACCATCATCTCTGGTTATTTAAAAACTTAAACCAACCCATATTAAATTTGACTACTGGATTTAGTTCTGTCAGTCTCGTTTAAAAAAGGATTTTTGAGCGATTTTTCAAAATTATTACGAATTTGACAGGTAAGTAACGTACGTAGCCAACTTTTTAAATAATCAGAGGTAAATGACGTTTTTTCCGGTCATAATATTAAAACAAATTGCCATATATATATATGGACCCAACTTTATTGCACTCACTGTAGGTCATATACGTGTCATGAAGACTAATTTTAAGAATTGAAGCCAATGAAGTGGTGTACAAATGGATATTTTTCTGCAATATTAATTTTGAGTTTGTTTGAAGTAGTTATTATAATCTGTTTTAATAATGTTAATTGTATCGGTTTATGAGCAATTTTAATAAAAACTAATTCAAAAATTGCAAAAATAATTATTGATAGGACATGGGTGGAAGGAAATTAGACATAAAACAAAAAGTAGTTTATTAGAAAAAAGATTATAGTATATTACAATAAAAACAACCTAAAATATAATACAGATGTCAAAAATATTGGAAATAAATCGTTCATATATCTTTCAACATTAAATTTTTGTTACACTTTTATTCCTTGAGGAACTTTGAAACCAAACGACTTTTGGGAACACATGACTTTCCAATTGCACATCTTATTTCTCTTCCTCTTTCTACTCGGGACATTTGTATGATGCCCCATATTTTATAAGGTAACTAACTACTAAATATCCTTATAACTAATGAAGTCTTATAAAAGTAACAAAATCACGAATAACGAAAAAGCACCCACTCAAAAATCTGCCAAAATTCAAACACGAAAAACGAACTGTTTACGTTTTGTCGTTTACGGCCATATGCACCATTCTTCTGTTAATAGTTATCAGAGAGTTAACTACATAACTGACTGTTAAATTGACAATTTTGTATTCACCATTACAAAATACGACTAACAATCTGTTAAAGGCGTTGTTAATGTAACAAACCAAATTTGGCCTGTTAATTTTACTTATCAGACTATTTTAATTTTACTTGTTTATTTTGAAGGGCTATATAAGGTTTTATAGGATATGAACAGTAATATATACGTAACAGACTGATTTCTTACTGAAACTGGTAAATTAGATGGTGCATAGCAAATTCTGTTAACACACTGTTATTTTTTATACTACTGTTAGATAACAGTCAGTTGCCAGAGACTACCAGTTGCTTAGTTCCGAAATTCACAATAATCGATCCAATCGATTGTTAAGTTTCACAATTTCTGTCTTTTCAACAAAAACATGAGCGATCACGGTATTGTCAAATTATATTTTTACTTAAGTAATATCATTATACATTTTAGAGGTACCATTACCTAATAAGTAGGCATAAAAAATTAAAAATTCTTATTTTATTACCGAAATGAATCGAGGAATCATTTAAATTCTAAAATAATCGATTTATATTTATAGAAGTTTTGCAAATTTTTAGGTAAAATGTAAACAAAACCCTTCGGATTAGGAAAAACCATAAAGTAATAAAATTTCTACCCAACCATAAAATACCTTTCACTCCAACCCAAAAATTGCGATGTGGAAAAGTTCAATTGACCCGGTTCTTTAGGATTAAAATTATTATTATGACCCTCAAATATAGTTTACAAGTGAATACAATATACCAATAATGTTAATAAATGTTGAAATATTATTCTAAAGTAAAATTTAATGTTTTTTTTCTTCTTATCATATTTAACCTACTTACTACTTACCAACTAGGTACAAGTTTTGACAGATTAATTTTTCATGTAACAGTGCAATTATTAAATTGAAACTGGATATCGCAAAATATATTATTCTTCTAAAACATTTATTGGTATCTGTCTACCTAGATTTGGCAACCTGGATATAAAAACAAGTACGCTTAAAAATAAAATTGTTATACGAGCTACAGGTACAGGTATTGCCATCTATGTACAATGTATTGAATACTTGCTTTGTTGCAAAACCGCTGGATCAAATGTCGCAGCCTTAAAGCAATAGGTCTATAACGATTTGTGATTTTTTTATCACCTTGTTTGTGTAATGAAACAATTATGATGCTCTTAAGACTATCAGGGAAGATTTCTGAGCTAAAGGTGTTATTTATAATATGTTTTAATGGACTCAACGAATGAGCATGGGCATTTTTAATTATGTTACCACCAATATTATCTTGGCCACGTTTTACATTATTTTTCAGGCTATTTGTAATATGAGTTCATGTAACTCAGTGCTGTTGGCATTTTTCTCAATAATAATATTAACATCTTCTAGAATCATTACACTAAGTGGAACGACAGCAAAACTTATCTCTGACGTAATAGTAAATAACTAATTTAAACAACTTAAGTATCAAGTCCCCAAAAAGCACGTGCATTTTCGTCTACTATTCTAGTTGTTATTTTTAATGTTTTTACTACTACTAGCAATAAGGTATTTTAATAACTGATCTTGCTCACAAAATAATGTGGTTATCGATCGGTATTAAATTTAGATGGCGTCACTACACAAATTTGTTTTAGACTTTTTATGTTTATACCAACAATTGGATTTTTTTCAATGAGTGCACTAATACTGTTGGATTTTTTATAAGTAGTAACCGCGATTAATATGTAGTATAATTTTTTACTTTAGCATTTGGAATCAGTTCAGAATTCTTACTGCGAACGAAGCTATTAATGTTTCCTGCCACTAAAATTTAGGGCTGTATATGTTCACATTATCTTTAACATCGACCGTCATTGTGTTCGGCTGACGCACTATCATAAGGTTCAGGATTTATGTCTGCCATTATCACTAGTACCAACTTCTAGTTAAATTACTAATTTTTGGGTCGATCTTTTTACCTTTGAGTAAAGTTATATGTAGGTTTACTTGACAGATTAACAAACAATAGCCCTTATAGTTTAATCGAAAATGTATGAAAATAAATTATTATTATTGAAAACAATTTAAATATTATGACGGTAATCAAATGCAAACAAATAGAAACTGAACTCAAAATTGTCGGAGACCCCTTGTATCTTAATACCCAAGCGATGGAAACGCGAAATTCTCGCCTATTGATAAATAAGGTTTATTACACGGTGTTTTGGACGGTGACCACGATGGTCGTAGAAAATAATATTTTTGAATTTTGCCCAGAGTCTAACGAGAGCGTAAGTGTGAATTTAATTTTACAGAAGCCGCCTGACTTCATTCAATAACTAATCGTGGACAGGAGAAACGGAATGATTCAAATACAATTGAATGAATAAATAAAAGAAAATAAATTTTACACGAAGTGAGGCGCGGAAATTAGTTTAAACGTTGTTGTTTTTTTTTTTTGGAAGTTAGATACGTCGTCAGAAGAGAGCACTCTAGGCCGAGGATAGATCGAACCTCCGAAAAAAATAAAACAATAAATAATAAAAAAAATGAAACAGGTCGAACCTCTCACTTCGATGTTAACTGGGCGGTTTTTAAAGGAAATTGAATGTGAGAGAGCACTCGGAGTCTAGTCTATATCCAACCTCAAATAAAAAATTGCCAACGACTTCCCACTGAGGGATGAAATAATAAATCCTGGGTATGAATCAAAATTCTTGATTTGTAACACGGATGTCCCAACTAATTATATGAAAGCCAATATAAAAAAAAATAATATACGGTTCCTACCTTAACGAATCCAACGGGTTAACGAATTACTTATTTAAGATCACGGCACTACACGGCGTCGTCACTATAAATTTTAGAAAGATCGGTACTTCTCGCGTGTCGGGAGTCAAGAGACGGCATTTTTAGCTTTCCATCAATTTATGCTTTTTCGGTAAAGAAAGATGGAAAACTAGTACGACAAAGTGGGGATACCACTACTACAACCGGCTGTTTAAAATTTAAAGATAAAAAAATGCCCTTATAGTCCTTGACAAATAAAAGGTAGATAATCCATACGAAATCGACCCTAAAAATACCTATTCGGATTTCGGCAAATTACTGGTAATTACTGGGAAACAGAAATACGGGGGAACTTCTACATGTTCTCAGGCGGAAATTAATTGAAATATACATTTTTAAGATGAATTAAAAATAAAATTTAGTGACTTCGTCACATCTGATGGAACATGTTGTGTGATATAATTTATTAAATCATTAAGAAACCAAACATCATGTAACTGGTATTAGGGATGAAACTTCTTGTAATATGTCTTTTTTTCGTATTTACAAACTATTTAAAAATGAATATGTATCTATTAAAATTTTTTTTGGAATATATTTCTAAATGATACTAACTTTTTCTTTATAAAATAACATTGGGCCTATTATTATTTTTTATCCTTTCTTTTTTTTATATATTATAGTGTTTAAGAACTCTCGTTGGACACACTGGAGGAGTTTGGTCTTCCCAAATGTCAGGAAGTACTATCATAAGTGGCAGTACAGATAGAACTTTAAAAGTTTGGGATGCAGATACGGGAGTTTGTATACATACTTTATATGGGCACACATCTACTGTGAGGTGTATGCATCTACATGGAAAAAAGCAAGTATTTATAATCACCGTAGGAAGATTACCAATTCAATTTTTTTTTATTTTATTTCTGTAGGGTTGTTAGTGGTTCAAGAGACGCTACTTTAAGAGTTTGGGATATCGAAACTGGAAACTTCCTCCACGTTCTAGTCGGTCATTTGGCTGCAGTTCGCTGTGTTCAGTATGATGGTAGACTTGTTGTGTCAGGTGCCTATGACTATATGGTTAAAGTATGGAATCCAGAGACTGAAGAGTGCCTGCATACCTTACAGGGACATACCAATAGAGTGTATTCATTACAGGTAATTTATCAAATATATTTTTACCATTTTAGTTCTTTCTTTATACTATTAGGACTTTTTTAATATGTACCATTCTGCAGTCTTTTTTTTTAAGATTTTTTTCAAAGTTTAAAATTTTTATAGAATTTAATTCGTTCCCTTGTGTTTGCCAAGTGCAGTTAAATTATTTTTAATTTTTTTTTGGGTATGTATTCTGTTTTTTAGGTATTGTTTTACAGGTATTGTTTCACATTATCCAATGTATACTTTATTGTGTAATAAAGTTGATTTATTTGTTTGTATGGAAATTTATTTAGCGTATTTATGAGCATTATTGCATTATAGCGTTTTTTTCTTTGTTTACAGCTGTTTGTTTTCAGACTTTGATAATTTTATTGATCTATCTGCCAAGCATCCCAAGTAACAATTTGATATTTTATAAAAGCTGAAAAAATGTTTACAGAACCAAATTTATAAAATAGAATATTAGCTAAGAACATTTCCGGAACATTCTTTCAACAGTAATAAACACAAAATGGGCGCAGTATTACAGAACTATTTGGTTCTTTTGTAAATTCTATAAGATTTGTTGAATGCAGTTACCGAACAGTTACTACACATTTACACAGACTTTAAACAAATGTTTTTTTAAACTTTTATAACTGTTTTATAAATTTTCAATTTTGAGGTTAGGTTGCATATCAAAATCAGTAACATTTTAGTTTTTTAAATGTATCTGGTGAAAACAAATTAATTCTATATTTGTCATGAAAGTAAATTCAAGGCGATATTAGTAAAATGGCAGTATCTACTTAAGAGATATCTATGACGCGGTTTAGACATAATGTATGACCTACGATAAAGCGTTTTTGGATACGCAGCAAGAATTACTGTTAATTATATAGCAAATACAATACTAAATTTTTAAGCGCCTCGAGTTTGATTCATATTTCTAATACTTTTTCAGTGTGAAACAAAAATTAAATTAATGCAATTGGATTTTTTTTTAGTAATAAGATTATGCTAATATTACTAATGATTAAAATCTTTAATTAACATTGGTTTTGTCTTAAATACTAGTAAAACCGACAGTAGATTTAACTTTAAAACTGTCTTAGGTTTTTGTTAAATATGGCGGCTATTCAGAGGTATTAGAAAGTTATTTTAAGACTGAATCATAATTATAAAATATTAGTGTAGTAAAAACAGCTGTAATACAATAATTAAGTTGTATTACTCATTTCTACAAAACAAGTTCATCATGGTTTGTTGTATAATAGTTTCATATTGCTGCACTATATGACAAAATATAACATAACCTTACTAAATCATTTCCGATTTAAGTATTTGAGAATTGAAATGATTAGATTTGTTTCTACAGCTTTATAGAGCAAGCATATTTTTTAATATTACGAGAATAAGCAAGTTTAACATGGACATCGCCAAAAATATGGCTTTCTTTTAGTATTGGGGCATGATTATTCAGAACATACCTAATTATTATCTGGCTGAATGATAGTTTTTTTTTGAGTGTCTAGACAAACCAGCAAAATGTTTTACTAATATTTTTTACTGTTCTCTGAAAAGCAGGTACCACTTATTTTTTATATTTCTTTACTATTTATGTCTGACATTTTCAGACCATACACTCACATACAATTGGTATGGGAAGTAGTTGAACGAACATAAAATACAAAATAATCTGGAGTAGGTACTACCAAATGTAGTTGCTTTATTTTTTTTTATAAATATTTTTAAAGTGATAATACTATTCTTAACTAAAATAATTGCTATACAGTTTTCTGATTTGTAATAGTGTATTTCGACAATATATTACAGTTATTTTAGAGTTTTCATCAGAAGCAAATTGCTATTGATGCGGAATTATCTCACACTAATATTTATATAACTATTTTTTAAAGCGTTATTATGAGGTTAAGAAACAGTTATATTTGTATAACCAAAAAGTTCTAAAGGTAATCCAGAACAATAATATAGAATAACTATAAAGCAGTTTTATTTTATAAGCTGAAATATTGTATAGAACAGTTGTATAAATGTTTACGTAACAATTTTATAGTTATCGTGAAAACTATTTCATAATTTTGCTGTAAGAATATTGTAAAAACTAATTTATATAACAATTTAGTTTCAGAGAACAAAATAGTGATTTCTGCAACTGAAATACAATAAATTAGCATTCCAGACACAGCAATATAATATCAATAAAATATAATAGTCTTATAAACTAAAAATTATAAAGCTACTTTGTTAGTTGGGATATTATAATGGACTTTTTTGTTCATATGTTTGAATAGAAAATTTAATTAACATCTAGACCAAGCAGGTTTCATATACCATTCGGTTTTTAATTATATATTGTCTTAAATTCAACCAATTAAAAACTGAAAATTAATAATTATGACCCATGTTTTAATGGAAAAACTAAATCAATATGGATGTGCTTCTATCCTGACTAAATTTTTCCAAACTTCCATGGATATACACTGCCCTGCAATAAGAAGAAGCTATGATATAACTTATTTATTTTTTATTTGTAATATCTGTTGGAATATATTGTTGTAAAAAAATTGA